GGCCTACCCTTGGGAAGCCTAGGGCCTTGGGTAGGGCCTACCCTTGGGAAGCCTAGGGCCTTGGGTAGGGCCTACCCTTGGGAAGCCTAGGGCCTTGGGTAGGGCCTAGGGTAGCCAAGGCCCCCGGTGATCTATACCCAAAAATGGCGCGCCCCGGGGGCAGTGCGGACAGGGGCCTGCGGAACAAGCGCGCGGAGGCGGCGGAATCGCGCTCGAAGCACGACCCGCGTGAGGGGGGAAGGAGGCAGGCGCCTTGGGCGGAGCCCCCGCGAGAACACGCTCACTGTGGCCACAAGTGGAGCTCACCGCGGGGCACGATCCACGCGAGGGATGCGCCAATTTGAGTGAGCGGCGGGACGCCACGCACACTTGCCATGTAGTGTCGTAGGAGGAGCTCCCCGCGGGGCACGATACGCGAAGGGGCGTGCCGAAACGGGCGGGGGAGCGTCATGCGTCATGCGAGCCCTGCTGTGGGGCCGCAAAGAGATCTCCCGTTGGAGCACGATCCGTGTGAGCGGTGTGCCGACAGGAGCGGAATGCGACAACTGGGGCTGTAAGTGGAGCTCCCTGTGGGAGGCACGATCCGCGCGAGGGATGTACAAGGAAGCTGGACAAAGTGAAGTTGGAAAGTCAGTGAATGTGGAAGTGGCCAGGGCTAGAAAAACTGGCAGTGGGTGAAACGAGCCTGAAATAGTGGGGATGCGGTCGCCAGGGCTGGAAAGGCGTGGGCCGACTTGTGTGGGGGGCGCCATGCGATAACGCCACTGGAGCCGCAAGTGGAGTTCCCTGCGCATGGAAGCACGAAGCGCGCGAGGGGTGGGCCGAAATGGACAGGGGCGGCTTAGTTGCGCCCGCGACAAATGGGGTCGTGGAGCGCCCTGTGGGGGCAAGGAACCTGCGATAGATGGGCCACATGCGGGCGGAGAGCGGGAGCAGGGGCAGGGAGAGGGAGGGGAGGAATTTGGCCTCTACAGATCCACCGCATAGTGCAACCAGCTGGCAGGGCGGGGCCTGCAAGCTGTGAGGAAAGAGGCAAACAACAGTGCCAAGGTTAGGCACCGTCGCCTGAGACCTCTTCCAATCAGCGCCAAAGAGACAGCTCGGGGCCAAGGGCCACACGACGGTGCCCAAGCACTATGTGCACCTGCCACAACATCTCTAAGAGAGGGGGCAGGCACACGTGACCAAGGAGACCCCGAGCTGCAAGCGCATAAAAGAAATCCAGCTGCAGAGACACTGCAACTGGACGCTATCTCGTGCCGACTGCCTTCGACTGTGCAAGAGGGACAACGGACGAGACAGCGCCCTCCCACTAGGGCCGCGATGGCACCAAGACGTGGAGGGCAGAGACCGTGGGACGCGCAACGCACACACGCACGAGAAGCGCGCCCAACGCCAAAAGAGGGATGTTGGGGCCCTGAACCTACGCTCAAAGCCACAGCAACACCAGCCGAGCCACGGTCAGGATGGAGTCACCCCCGTGCTCGGACCAAGAAGAGGTGCACCCAAGATGTGCGCGCACCTTCCCCCAGAGATGGGGTGCCTGACGCTCGTGCACGACGACGCATATGCAACAGAGAGCGAAAAAACTAGCCAAAGAAAAGAATCGACCACCCACAAAAGGACGACGAGCCCGCAGCCCCTGTTGCAGCCAGCGCCAGGACGACCGACGGACTCGCCCCAGATGTGGGGCAACGCACGGATGCCTGCCAAAAGGGTCAGTCGCATCGGGCCGTGCAGAAGAGAAAGAGATGGCTTACCCTCGCCACAGGGAAAACTCGACCACCCACAAAATGACGACAAGCCCGCAGTCCCTGGCGCAGCCAGCGCCAGGACGACGTACGGACTCGCCCCAGATGTGGGGTTAAGCACGGATGCCTGCCATAAGGGGTCAGTCGCGTCGGGCCGCGCAACAAAACGAAGACGAAATGGCGGCCCTGCGCCGCAGGGAAATCAATCCGAACTGTCCGACTCGTCCTGGCGGCGTCTCGCCAGGAAGGAAGGCGTTAGAAGTGGTCCCTGAGCAGGAGGCTGCGGGGGTGCGTTCTCTTCGGCCTCTAGCCGACTCCGCACACATATGGGCCCCTCTCGAGGGGAGGAGCTAGCTGCAGCCGGCAGATCGTCCTTGCCATCACAAGGACGGTGCACGCACTCCTCTTTTCCCCCGTCAGTCACACCCCCCGAGTCCCCACCCACTCCAGACGGTCTATCGACGCCCTCAAAGACATACGAGTCAAAACAGGCCATACAGTTGTCAAGGTCGACTGTGACCCGTTCTTTCCGCTTGAAGTAGTGAGGGTGGTCACCGCGAAGCAGATATCGCCAACCATATCTAGCTGCACGCGACGGCGGGGGAGCACATTTTCCGCCAAGGCCTCTGACTGAGGCCCCTAAAGAGTAGCACTTGCATCGTAGGCAGATGAACAAGACCGAGCCGTCGGAGCAATTGAAACCCACCGCGCGGTGATCCAACGCTTGCTGCTTGGCAGCATGCAACTAGGAAAAAGAAGAAGAAGAAAAAAAAAAAAAAAAAAAAAAAAAAAAAAAAAAAAAAAAAAAAAAAAAAAAAAAAAAAAAAAAAAAAAAACGCCCTGGAGGCGGGCAACTCCCTGCCCCATCGTCGACCCAGTAGACAGACAGCACACCTCCAAATGCCGCTCCATCGCTCCCACCGGTGAAGCACGGGGGGGGGGGGGGGCTCGAAGAGGGAGCGAGCTCAGGTGGGGTGCACGGCACATCGAGGGGCAATTTCGGCCAGAGCGGCAGAAGGCTGGCAGCTAGAATGCAATACGCACGGGCAGCATCCACCAGACGAGTCGCTTCCTCCATCTCCTCAGGGGCAGACGGGTGGAGCAAAAGGCCACGCTTGGCCCCAATGTCAGCATCTGAATTCCCTTTGCGGAGAAACCTCTCACGAGCAGACAGGCCCTCCTCTTCCAGACTGAGATGAGCCTTGACCTTCACACTGAGCTCTACAAGCTGGCCTTCAAAGGAGCTGGCCTGTAAGATCATACCCGGATAGGTGCGCTTCCCCGAGTATCTTTCCGTCTCGGGGAGCCCACTTTGATGCGCAACAGTGGCGCAATCGGAGTAGAGGACCGAAGGAAAAATCATAAATTGGGCAACCACACACCTAGCTGAGAATTCAACGGTTTGTGGGGTCTGCGGGTAGTGGGCCCAGACAGGGCCTCGAACCTCTCCAAGGCACTCCCCATCGTCCGAATTCATTGAGACAGCCCAAGAGGCCCTCGAGAGCTCTCTAATGGGGTGGCGCTGGCAGGGCCCGTCAATGAAGAGGTGACCCCACATTTCTCCATTGGCGGGGGCCCTAGGGCCCTCAGGGCTGATGAGCTCTTTGCAGTGCCAAATGTACTGAAGGGAGTTCGTACCCTCTTGAGCTGGCCTAGGGAGCCAGTCGGCGGGGTGGGCGAAAGCCCCCACGATCCGTGTGAGCGGTGTGCCGACAGGAGCGGAATGCGACAACTGGGGCTGTAAGTGGAGCTCCCTGTGGGAGGCACGATCCGCGCGAGGGATGTACAAGGAAGCTGGACAAAGTGAAGTTGGAAAGTCAGTGAATGTGGAAGTGGCCAGGGCTAGAAAAACTGGCAGTGGGTGAAACGAGCCTGAAATAGTGGGGATGCGGTCGCCAGGGCTGGAAAGGCGTGGGCCGACTTGTGTGGGGGGCGCCATGCGATAACGCCACTGGAGCCGCAAGTGGAGTTCCCTGCGCATGGAAGCACGAAGCGCGCGAGGGGTGGGCCGAAATGGACAGGGGCGGCTTAGTTGCGCCCGCGACAAATGGGGTCGTGGAGCGCCCTGTGGGGGCAAGGAACCTGCGATAGATGGGCCACATGCGGGCGGAGAGCGGGAGCAGGGGCAGGGAGAGGGAGGGGAGGAATTTGGCCTCTACAGATCCACCGCATAGTGCAACCAGCTGGCAGGGCGGGGCCTGCAAGCTGTGAGGAAAGAGGCAAACAACAGTGCCAAGGTTAGGCACCGTCGCCTGAGACCTCTTCCAATCAGCGCCAAAGAGACAGCTCGGGGCCAAGGGCCACACGACGGTGCCCAAGCACTATGTGCACCTGCCACAACATCTCTAAGAGAGGGGGCAGGCACACGTGACCAAGGAGACCCCGAGCTGCAAGCGCATAAAAGAAATCCAGCTGCAGAGACACTGCAACTGGACGCTATCTCGTGCCGACTGCCTTCGACTGTGCAAGAGGGACAACGGACGAGACAGCGCCCTCCCACTAGGGCCGCGATGGCACCAAGACGTGGAGGGCAGAGACCGTGGGACGCGCAACGCACACACGCACGAGAAGCGCGCCCAACGCCAAAAGAGGGATGTTGGGGCCCTGAACCTACGCTCAAAGCCACAGCAACACCAGCCGAGCCACGGTCAGGATGGAGTCACCCCCGTGCTCGGACCAAGAAGAGGTGCACCCAAGATGTGCGCGCACCTTCCCCCAGAGATGGGGTGCCTGACGCTCGTGCACGACGACGCATATGCAACAGAGAGCGAAAAAACTAGCCAAAGAAAAGAATCGACCACCCACAAAAGGACGACGAGCCCGCAGCCCCTGTTGCAGCCAGCGCCAGGACGACCGACGGACTCGCCCCAGATGTGGGGCAACGCACGGATGCCTGCCAAAAGGGTCAGTCGCATCGGGCCGTGCAGAAGAGAAAGAGATGGCTTACCCTCGCCACAGGGAAAACTCGACCACCCACAAAATGACGACAAGCCCGCAGTCCCTGGCGCAGCCAGCGCCAGGACGACGTACGGACTCGCCCCAGATGTGGGGTTAAGCACGGATGCCTGCCATAAGGGGTCAGTCGCGTCGGGCCGCGCAACAAAACGAAGACGAAATGGCGGCCCTGCGCCGCAGGGAAATCAATCCGAACTGTCCGACTCGTCCTGGCGGCGTCTCGCCAGGAAGGAAGGCGTTAGAAGTGGTCCCTGAGCAGGAGGCTGCGGGGGTGCGTTCTCTTCGGCCTCTAGCCGACTCCGCACACATATGGGCCCCTCTCGAGGGGAGGAGCTAGCTGCAGCCGGCAGATCGTCCTTGCCATCACAAGGACGGTGCACGCACTCCTCTTTTCCCCCGTCAGTCACACCCCCCGAGTCCCCACCCACTCCAGACGGTCTATCGACGCCCTCAAAGACATACGAGTCAAAACAGGCCATACAGTTGTCAAGGTCGACTGTGACCCGTTCTTTCCGCTTGAAGTAGTGAGGGTGGTCACCGCGAAGCAGATATCGCCAACCATATCTAGCTGCACGCGACGGCGGGGGAGCACATTTTCCGCCAAGGCCTCTGACTGAGGCCCCTAAAGAGTAGCACTTGCATCGTAGGCAGATGAACAAGACCGAGCCGTCGGAGCAATTGAAACCCACCGCGCGGTGATCCAACGCTTGCTGCTTGGCAGCATGCAACTAGGAAAAAGAAGAAGAAGAAGAAAAAAAAAAAAAAAAAAAAAAAAAAAAAAAAAAAAAAAAAAAAAAAAAAAAAAAAAAAAAAAAAAAAAAAAAAAAAAAAAAAAAAAAAAAAAAAAAAAAAAAAAAAAAAAAAAAAAAAAAAAAAAAAAAAAAAAAAAAAAAAAAAAAAAAAAAAAAAAAAAAAAAAAAAAAAAAAAAAAAAACGCCCTGGAGGCGGGCAACTCCCTGCCCCATCGTCGACCCAGTAGACAGACAGCACACCTCCAAATGCCGCTCCATCGCTCCCACCGGTGAAGCACGGGGGGGGGGGGGGGCTCGAAGAGGGAGCGAGCTCAGGTGGGGTGCACGGCACATCGAGGGGCAATTTCGGCCAGAGCGGCAGAAGGCTGGCAGCTAGAATGCAATACGCACGGGCAGCATCCACCAGACGAGTCGCTTCCTCCATCTCCTCAGGGGCAGACGGGTGGAGCAAAAGGCCACGCTTGGCCCCAATGTCAGCATCTGAATTCCCTTTGCGGAGAAACCTCTCACGAGCAGACAGGCCCTCCTCTTCCAGACTGAGATGAGCCTTGACCTTCACACTGAGCTCTACAAGCTGGCCTTCAAAGGAGCTGGCCTGTAAGATCATACCCGGATAGGTGCGCTTCCCCGAGTATCTTTCCGTCTCGGGGAGCCCACTTTGATGCGCAACAGTGGCGCAATCGGAGTAGAGGACCGAAGGAAAAATCATAAATTGGGCAACCACACACCTAGCTGAGAATTCAACGGTTTGTGGGGTCTGCGGGTAGTGGGCCCAGACAGGGCCTCGAACCTCTCCAAGGCACTCCCCATCGTCCGAATTCATTGAGACAGCCCAAGAGGCCCTCGAGAGCTCTCTAATGGGGTGGCGCTGGCAGGGCCCGTCAATGAAGAGGTGACCCCACATTTCTCCATTGGCGGGGGCCCTAGGGCCCTCAGGGCTGATGAGCTCTTTGCAGTGCCAAATGTACTGAAGGGAGTTCGTACCCTCTTGAGCTGGCCTAGGGAGCCAGTCGGCGGGGTGGGCGAAAGCCCCTCGAGTGTATAGGCATATATCCGCACTGCTGGCCTCAGTTGACAGGGCCGTTAGGGCGTCGGCAGCAACAGAGGCGGGGACCAACTGAGCTCTCAACCGAGAGACCTCCTCGTCAAGGCAGCTCCACAGCCTGTGGGCGATGGAGTCGGGGGCGACCCGACACCTGGGGCAAAGCGGGCCCACGTCGCATCCTGCACTGAGAGCACGGTCAGCTGTCCATGTGGCGCAGCTGGTGCACGCACGAATCCACCCTTGCTGGGCTGGGGTAAACTTCTTAGACGAGCAGGCCGATTTGGGGATGTCCAAACACAAACGCTTCCCAACACCCCATTTACCACCCAAGTCACGCTCCAGACTTCTCAAAAAGGCGCCCTTGCAAAGCGTTTCAAGCAACCTGGGGGAGGTAAGGCCCAGGGAAATCTGATAACCCCTATCGTCAACCACCGTCATGAAGTTGGTCATCCTCCACCCAAGACGGAGCAAAGAAAGCCTGAGAGCAGAGAGCGGTCCCTTGACCGTGGGCCACGTGACCCTCTCCAGCGAGAACACGGCATTCCACGCAGACCGAAGGTCTTCAAAGGAGAGGGAGCCATCAAATATCCTCGTGTGAGTGATCCATATCTCTTTACTCCATCGAAGTATCGGGGCACTGGCCGCTCTCCAACAGGGATCCTCCGAGAGAATGCTGACAGCAGTGAGAGAGCGGCTCTTGGCGAAAGGGCGCACGGTCGAAAAAGCTTGGCGTCTCATCATGAGAAGCTGTTGGTCGCTGACCCCCAGGATCTCCGCTCCATAGGCCCCTCCAGCGAGGGGGCCAGCAGCGAAGATCCTGAGGGCCGCTCTACCAACATGCTCCGACTGCTTCTTGAGCCGCCTAGCTTTGCGACACATGAGAGCAGCTCTGGCTTTCACCTTAGAATTCCTGCCCGAAACCCGGGCCGATCGGCCCGCGCAAAAATCAACACCCAGGTTGACAGTGGAATCGCGCACTCTACCCCCTAACTGACCAAGAGAGATGGCTAAGTCACTAGCCAGCTTCTTGCTGGAGGCAACCGTGCAAAACTTTATCAAGAGACAGCTGGCAACCCATGTCATTGGTGATGACGTGATGTAACATGATAGAGGTCGACACGATATGTTGGAGAACTTGCTTGTGACTGCCAGTGCTCGAAACACCCGTGTCATCGACGTACGCATCGAACTCTAACTGTTTGTGCCGAGGGAGCTGGTCAAACGCATCCATCGCGAAAACTCGGATGTGCGATGTCGCAAAGCTGCATCCAGCAACAACCCCATTGATCACGAAAAAAGGACCGTCCAGCACGCCAGCAACAGAGATGAAACGGCCGCACCTGTAAGCATGGATCGACAACCGAGTGATGACTTCAGGAAAGTTATGACGACGACATCGATCTTCCAGCATATCCAAGTTGATCGTTTCATAATATTTGAGCATGTCATAAAAAAACGCTGGCGCTGCACAGCTTCCGAGCCGTGCCTGACTCCGCTCGGACTGACTGGCGCCACACCACATCAGACGCTCCTCTGAAAGCCCCTGCGGCCCAGTACCGACGGGGGTGTTGCCGCTCCCAGTCCAGGGCGCGGGGCCGCCTGAGGCGACCCCACACCCTGTACCAGGAGCAAAACACCCCTATCGGCCTGAAGCCGCTTGTCGGCTTGCTGAGGAGGGCGGCCAAGACAGCAGAAACCTGTCGAGGCAGCACTCCAACCGACTCCATCAACTCGAAAAGCATAGCCACAGCAGTGAGACCGTCGTCGCACAGCAAGTGGAAATGCCTGCAGTCAAATCCGTCATACGTGACAGTCGAGCCCGCCTTGTATCGTTTGGACACGGCTCGAAGCTGGTCAGGAGTCGCCCTAGGAAACGCTTGAGCAAGCGTCACACTCTTGGCCTCTCCAGAGGCCTGGCCCCAGAAACTGCTGAACTCGTCACTTCTTTAGCGAGCAAAGACAACGGGTCAGCCACCACCGAGCCGTCCGCCGCCAACGTCGTCGTCGGCCTCCAGGGCGAAGGGTCTTTGGTGATGGTGTGGGCCCTTTTTGGCCCCCTTGTCCAGGCCAGCGGTCAACCAAGAACGCAAATCCGCATTGGACCTGGCTCTATACCGCGAGCCCGCCTCGGCCAGGGTCGTCTTAAGACCCTCAAGCTGCGCCTCACCAAGAGCTATCACCTCCACCGTCCATTGGGATGAGGAATGCTGTTGAACGAAGCGCCTGATACAATCGAATGAGCTCTGGTACTCCTTCGCGCGGCAAGAGGCAGAGGCAGGCCAGCAAAGAAAAGAGGCGTGGATGGCCTGCGCCTGCGCAGACAAACCTCGGCTGTCCCTGCGCAGTGAGACCAAGCTACGAGACTCGGCCCCCAGCCACTTGATTGCCCTGTGGGCAGGATACCTTGGCTTGCTGTCCCGTCCCACCACCGATCTCCACATGAGCTGAGGCCCCGCACTCCTCGCCCCCTTCCTGATCAAGTCGGCACCTAAGAGGGGAACCAGCTCCGCTTCCGCAACGTCAGCCCAGACACCGTAGCCAAGGGTGAGGAGACTTGCCGCCCGAGTACCATTCCCGCGTCCGGCCTCTCGAAGGCCCTCCTGAGCCATGTCCAGAACCTGAGTCCAATCCTGCTGCTGGGGCTTGGGACCAAACACAGGATCCGAGGGGAGCGGGGGAGGCTTTCGGAAACTTAAGGCTTTCAAAGAAGCAGGCGCAGGGTGGAACTTGAGATCGACAGGACGGTGCGGGCTCAGTTCCGCGCTCATAACAACTTCACAAAAAGCAGCCGCCTTTCCAAGGCCTCCACTGCACACGGAAAAGTCAATCTTGGATGGGGCTCCATCCCCAAAGGAGGCGCAGCCGTCTGGATCTATCAGCTGGCCCTGCAATTCGGAGACAAACTTGGAAGCGGCAAGGTGCGATGGGGGGAAGGTTGAGATCCCCTCCCAACACGAACGAACCAGGGAACCCCGAGCATCTCGCCCCTAAGGAGGCCAACACTTCCAAGTTTCGCTCCGACAGGCCTTCACTGCGGTGCAAATAAACGCTCCCAATCCTGACAGTGAAGCCCCCTGGGACCTGAACATCGGCCACCATCGCGTGGCCTTTGGAAACAACAAACCCTCCCACAAGAGAAATGAGGCCGAGCCAATCACGAACAAGCACGGCGACACCTCCTGAGGTGTCGGAGTCGGTCTCGCAGGCGGGACACCAGAGAGACTTCCAACCATTTCGAGCACACCACTGAGATGCCGCGTAAATCTTCTCGGCGTGGAGCAGACGATGCTCCTGCACCAACACGACGTTGGCAGGCGTGTCAGGCAAAAGCTTCTTGAGCGTGCCCCACGAGTTCACACTCATACTTCGAATCAACAGTTGCACCGAGCTCAGCCCGTCAGACCCCTGGACCTGGCCAGGAGAGGGAGGAGCGAGGCACGGAAGAGGAGGGGGAGAGATCCTGGGGCCAGGCACCATCTCCACAGGGCCACCCGCGC